GTCTTTTGTGTATCCATGTTTTCTTGCACTACTCTCCATAGCATGGATATGGGGTGTACAGTAAACTAGTCACTAACGTCCACAAAATGGATATGGGGTACACAATAAACTAGCCACTACCTTCCACAGGATGGATATGGTATACACAATATACTAGCCACTACCATCCACAGGATGGATGTGAGGTACACAATAAACTAGCCACTACCATCCACAGGGTGGATACGAGGTACACAATAAGTTAGTCACTACCATCCACAGGATGGATGTGAGGTACATAATAAACTAGTCGCTGCGGTGGCAATATTTAACTGTAATCATGTAATATAACAACACTTAGTGTGCATATACCAGTTCTCTCCAACACTGGTTGACCTGCGAGGCGGTGTAGGTTTGACCCTGTTATGTGGAAAGAATAAACTGACTGCTTGTGGTCACTGTTATTGACTTTCTTGGGCAGCATTGATAATGGGTTGGGCAAATGTTTTTATTAGTGGGTTTGGCTTTGAGAAGGACCTGCCTAGTATGGGGCAGTAGACCTGCTGCAGTGTTCCTCCGTTCATATTTCCTTATGAGTCTGGTCTTGTAGCTTCTCGTGTTCAACTTGCCTGTGGTCACAGATGTCTATATATCACTTCTCAAGTGAATATCCTGGTAAACTGTACAAAATATTAATATCCCGGTAAACTATACAAAATATTAATATCCCAGTAAACTATACAAAATATTAATATCCCGGTAAACTATACAAAATATTAATATCCCAGTAAACTATACAAAATATTAATATCCCGGTAAACTATACAAAATATTAATATCCCGGTAAACTATACAAAATATTAATATCCCGGTAAACTATACAAAATATTAATATCCCGGTAAACTAACAAAATATTAATATCCCGGTAAACTATACAAAATATTAATATCCCGGTAAACTATACAAAATATTAATATCCCAGTAAACTATACAAAATATTAATATCCCAGTAAACTATATAAAATATTAATATCCCGGTAAACTATAAAAAATATTAATATCCCGGTAAACTATAAAAAATATTAATATCCCGGTAAACTATACAAAGTTTGTAGCCTCTTGTTTTGCTTATTTAACTTCTCTTCGTATGTTTCTCTTTCTTAAGAAGTTGTTTTTATTTGCCGCCCATTTTTGTTATGTTATTTTGTATCTTCTTGTTTTCACGTGGAATTTTGTAGCTTCGTGTTTTTTCTGGGAATTTTGTAGCTTAGTGTTGTTTTCTCTGAGAATTTTTTAGTTTCGTGTTGTTTTCTCTTGAAATTTTGTAGCTTTGTGTTGTTTTCTCTGGAAATTTTGTTGCTTCGTGTTGTTTTCTCTGGGAATTTTGTAGCTTAGTGTTGTTTTCTCTGAGAATTTTTTAGCTTCGTGTTGTTTTCTCTGGAAATTTTGTAGCTTTGTGTTGTTTTCTCTGGGAATTTTGTTGCTTCGTGTTGTTTTCTCTGGGAATTTTGTAGCTTCGTGTTGTTTTCTCTGGGAATTTTGTAGCTTTGTGTTGTTTTCTCTGGGAATTTTGTAGCTTTGTGTTGTTTTCTCTGGGAATTTTGTAGCTTTGTGTTGTTTTCTCTGGGAATTTTGTAGCTTCGTGTTTTCTCTGGGAATTTTGTAGCTTTGTGTTGTTTTCTCTGGGAATTTTGTAGCTTCATGTTGTTTTCTCTGGGAATTTTGTGTTTTCGTGTTGTTTTCTCTGGGAATTTTGTAGCTTCGTGTTGTTTTCTCTGGGAATTTTGTAGCTTCGTGTTGTTTTCTCTGGGAATTTTGTAGCTTAGTGTTGTTTTCTCTGGGAATTTTGTTGCTTCGTGTTGTTTTCTCTGGGAATTTTGTAGCTTCGTGTCGTTTTCTCTGGGAATTTTGTTGCTTCGTGTTGTTTTCTCTGGGAATTTTGTAGCTTAGTGTTGTTTTCTCTGGGAATTTTGTAGCTTAGTGTTGTTTTCTCTGGGAATGTTGTAGCTTAGTGTTGTTTTCTCTGGGAATTTTGTTGCATCGTGTTGTTTTCTCTGGGAATTTTGTAGCTTAGTGTTGTTTTCTCTGGGAATTTTGTAGCTTCGTGTTGTTTTCTCTGGGAATTTTGTAGCTGTTTTTTTCTCTGGGAATTTTGTTGCTTCGTGTTGTTTTCTCTGGGAATTTTGTAGCTTTGTGTTGTTTTCTCTGGGAATTTTGTAGCTTCGTGTTGTTTTCTCTGGGAATTTTGTAGCTGTTGTTTTCTCTGGGAATTTTGTTGCTTCGTGTTGTTTTCTCTGGGAATTTTGTAGCTTAGTGTTGTTTTCTCTGGGAATTTTGTTGCTTCGTGTTGTTTTCTCTGGGAATTTTGTAGCTTAGTGTTGTTTTCTCTGGGAATTTTGTAGCTTAGTGTTGTTTTCTCTAGGAATTTTGTTGCTTCGTGTTGTTTTCTCTGGGAATTTTGTTGCTTCGTGTTTTCTCTGGGAATTTTGTAGCTTCGTGTTGTTTTCTCTGGGAATTTTGTAGCTTCGTGTTGTTTTCTCTGGGAATTTTGTAGCTTTGTGTTTTCTCTGGGAATTTTGTAGCTTCGTGTTGTTTTCTCTGGGAATTTTGTAGCTTTGTGTTGTTTTCTCTGGGAATTTTGTTGCTTCGTGTTTTCTCTGGGAATTTTGTAGCTTCGTGTTGTTTTCTCTGGGAATTTTGTAGCTTTGTGTTGTTTTCTCTTGGAATTTTTTAGCTTCGTGTTGTTTTCTATGGGAATTTTGTAGTTTCGTGTTGTTTTCTCTGGGAATTTTGTAGTTTCGTGTTGTTTTCTCTGGGAATTTTGTAGCTTCGTGTTGTTTTCTCTGGGAATTTTGTAGCTTTGTGTTTTCTCTGGGAATTTTGTAGTTTCGTGTTGTTTTTTCTGGGAATTTTGTTGCTTCGTGTTTTCTCTGGGAATTTTGAAGCTTTGTGTTGTTTTCTCTGGGAATTTTGTAGCTTTGTGTTTTCTCTGGGAATTTTGTAGCTTCGTGTTGTTTTCTCTGGGAATTTTGTTGCTTCGTGTTGTTTTCTCTGGGAATTTTGTAGCTTAGTGTTGTTTTCTCTGGGAATTTTGTAGCTTCGTGTTTTCTCTGGGAATTTTGTAGCTTCGTGTTGTTTTCTCTGGGAATTTTGTTGCTTCTTTTGTTTTCTCTGGGAATTTTGTAGCTTAGTGTTTTCTCTGGGAATTTTGTAGCTTCGTGTTTTCTCTGGGAATTTTGTTGCTTCGTGTTTTCTCTGGGAATTTTGTTGCTTCGTGTAGCTTTCTCTGGGAATTTTG